ATGCATAACCCATTACTATATTTGTGAAGTGTATTAGGATATTTTGATGTAAAACGTATCTAAAGTAAGCTGAAAACAATTAATAGAATTTTGAATATTTCTTTAGTATATGAAAACTGGTTCTCTTAGTACTGGTAGATCACTGAAATTCAAGATACATTTCTGTTGCAGTTGAAAGTAAAATTTGATGTCAGATACGGATATAGCATCTGTGAGAGCCATTCCAATACTCACTGGATGGCGGATAAACTGATAAGCATTTGTTTTTGGGAAGTGCTGCCTATGGATAAGAATTCAGTTTGTCTGTAGACAACCACTATTCAAAACTAACTGTATGTCAGCTGTAGTTATTTGTCAGGATGGTAGCAGTAGCACTTGCCTGAACACAGTAGAAGTAGGAATACTTACATCAGAATGGCATATTTATTGATGATAAACCCTAGAGTTACTGTCTGATAAAAAATCGGACAAAGCTTTATCCTGCCAGAATATTTAAAGTTGATGCCTCTTGGCTCTTTGCCATAGTGCTGTTGCATGTTCACTCTTTGCAGATGAGCCTTAAGCTCAAACTAAAACTTTGAGTGGCTTCAATTTTGTGTAGTCATTCTGGTGGTCAGTTGAACTCTGAGTGTATGCAGGCAGGGAAGTGAAGTTTGGCTAAAAATTTGTCTGTGGCTGAAGTTTGTAGTGAAATGAGGCCTCAGCCACACGTTGCTCAATTATTCCGCCTGCATTCATTGATAACATTTTTGGTTCTAAAATTAACAGAGAACATGATAGAAGTTAGAAAATATGTAAGAGAAAAGAAGAGATAAAGTAATACACATAGAGTATGCACAAGCAAAGATAGAATTATGGATTGTCTGAAATCTTTTATACAGTGCTGGGTCCTCATTCACTGAAGCTTGCAAAAATGAGACTCCAGGCTTTCCCAGTTATGCATCAGACTGAAAACATGACAGTATGTAGTAGAGATTTCAGCCACACACTTGATATATCAGCCATACATTTCCAGATAAATCTCACCTAGCTGCAGATGCATACTCTGATTTGGTCTGCACAGTAGCTGAACATGATTAACCCATTCGCCGCGGTTGGCAAGAATAGATGCCATACCCACTTTGATACATGTTTATTTATTGTATTTACACCTAGATGGCTCTATAAGTTCTTAATCACCAAATAGCCAGTTATCAAGAACTACCTATTTCACCTGTTTACCCTTTTCCTTCACTTTTGGAAAGGGTTTTTTGTATCATCTTATTGTCAAAAATATTCTAATGACAATTCAATCATCATAACATCAGTAACAATAATAACAGCATCGAAAGCAATGATATTAATTTTCCCGCCAATTCAATGAATGGGAAAATCAGGGTCGGTAACTAGGGCCTACTGATAGACTCCTTGCTGGCTGAGTACATGTGGAGCCATCTGTAGGTAGCAAAATTCACCAAAACCAACAGGGGACAGAACATAAATCCGTGGCGAATGGGTTAAGAGCATCATAAGCCTGAAGTGACCTTTCCTTTCTCTGCATATATGTAGGAACTATTATGATGGATGTATTGAGTATGTTGTGCTGAAAGAATCATAAATCTGAAGATTTCAGTAGCCTGACCTAGAGTGATCAAACGCGTATTTTCATTAGGAAATTTAGCATATGTATTTTGAGGTAAAGTGTAGTTTGACCTCTTCCCGAGCTTCCAAGAAATATATCACTATGATATAAATTTTGTTGTGAATGGCTCTAGTATAACATAACTTTTATTGGTGATAATGATAAGGATTATGAAAAAAAAATTGTTCACTTGTAATATGTATTTTATATGTTTATAAGTTAACAACTATAATACTTTGGTATTTTAGTATTATTAGCATGAAGTTTATATGAGATTATGTAAATGGCTCTGTGAACTAGTAATCACAATATAATTTTCTTACATGATATTGTTTAAATTTGACATTTTATGGAACTTTTTTCTTTACTTTCATGCAGTGAAGATGAAATGAAATAAAGATTACTGTGAGGGGAAGGTTGTATTGCAGCTGTAATGTGTAAGGTGACCCTAACAACTACTCACAAAAAAATAAATACTTTTAGAACTGTTAAAAAAAAAAGAAATATGCCAGATGTGTTTAGTGGTCAGTTTGGGTCATCTTGTGAAACATTCTAAATATTTCCTTTGGGTAATGAGAAGAGATTTAGTGTGTTGATCTATAGACTTCATGCATTCTATCCAAGTGTTATGCAGATGTCGAATGTATATTCTTAAGCAAGAGAAATAACTTGACTTTTCTTTCTCAGACATGATGCGAGGCGATCTTCAGAAGAACGTGAAGAAGAGTGTAGATTAGAGAAGAGAAGAAGATTAGAGAAGAGAAGAAGATTAGAGAAGAGAAGAAGATTAGAGAAGAGAAGAAGATTAGAGTGAAGATTATGAGAAGAGCCTCTATGACCCTGGTTCTGAGATTGTGAGACCGTAGAGGAGCTGCTTCAGACTTCAAAGGATCTCTACTGCGGCAGCTTTCCTGAGATTAGCATGCTGAATTTTGTGTTTTGTTATTGTTACACAACAAAGTTGCATTGCAAGTATAAAGATTAAGTAACTATAGAAAATAATTGTTGTCACCTAACAAGCTTAAATTGCAAGAAATGCAGAACAAAGGATAAATTTCACTTTGTGGTGATGTGGTATTAATAGATTATCTGTATTCTATTTAATGTGTGAATGATATTTTGAGAATGTCAAGTTTGAAAGAAAAAATTTTAACAGAAGCCTGGGAAGCCTCACAGGCAACTAGTCAGTATGGGGATGAATTCTGCCAGACACAAACCCAGAAACAGTGTATAGTAATCCATGCAAACAGCAGACCCCACAAATGTACGGAATGTGGAAAAGCATTCTCTAGAAAATCTACACTGACTCAGCACTACATGATTCATACTGGTGACAGGCCTCATAAATGCCATGAGTGTGGGAAGACTTTCACAAGGAAATTTAGCTTGACACAGCATATGATGATCCATACAGGTTACAGAGTACACAAGTGTGTCAAATGTGGTGAAGTGTTTCCTCAAAGAGCACACCTGATGCAGCATATGGTAATACATTCGGGTGACAAGTTCTGTCAGTGCAATAAATGTGGCAACTTTGTGATGTTAAAGTCGAACTTAGCAGATCAAATATTGATACATACCAGTAATGGGCTTATTGAGTGCAATAAATGTGGAGAGGGGGTACCTGAAAAGGCAACCCAGACACCTGCTGTGATTGTTTTTACTGAAACTAGACCCCATAAATGTATTGAGTGTGGAAAAATTTTCTCAAGGAAATCCAGCTTAAATCAGCACAAGATGATCCACACAGGTGACAGACCTCACAAGTGCAATGAGTGTGGAAAAGCATTCTCAAGAAAGTCAAGTTTGAATCAACACCTGATGATTCATACTGGTGAAACCCCCCACAAGTGCAATGAGTGTGGAAAGGAATTCACAAGAAAGTCCAGCTTGGTGGAACATGGAATGACTCATAAAGGTGTGCTAGCGCATAGGTGCAGTGAGTGCGGGAAAGCCTTCTCACGAAAATCAAGCCTGAAGCAGCACATGATGATACATGCAAATAATGAGCTTCACAAGTGCTTAGAGTGTGGTGAACAGTTTTCCAAGAAGGGGCAGCTAAATGAACATATGGCAAAGCATAGCATCAACAAAGATGGTCCTGACAAAGACCTCATCATAGGTGTCGTAAGTAAAGAAAATGCTGATTACACAAATGCAGAAGTTGTCAATGGTTACAGTATAATCTACACTACTGGAAGTGGCGAGACTAGTAGTTCACGCTGGCTAAAAGTCGACCAGGAAGTGAAGGAGCAGACTGACTGGGAAAAAGCTTTTAGTAAAGGACAGTATCATATAGAATACTTCAACAAACCCGAAATAGTGGAGACTCGACATTGTGACGGCAAAATGCTCTAGGTTGCTTGAAAAATGTGAAAGGAAATTATATCATAAGAGTTGACTGTTGTTGGTAAATATATGTCAGTGTGCCCTGCTGAATTTTAGTTCTTGCAATATGAAGTAGAATAGTCTTAGTTTTGTATATTTCTTTTAAGATGATTATATATAACAATATTACCAAATGTCTATGTCTGTATTTTATTTTTGTAAAAAAACAACTTACCATGGCTTTCTATAGATGTAAATTTATTTAAATATACTCAAATTCTCTAAAATCCTATTTTCACTACATGGAAGAAATAGTTAACTAGATATACAATAACTACTGATACTCATAATTTGTTTTTTAATTCCCTTCTCCCATAGTTGTCAAGCAGTTGCATGTGGCTGTGTGAGGCCTCTGCTAGAGGGGCTTTGGCCAGCAGACCAAAGTGATTAATTTGTTTGATTCTTCAAATTTCATCCTTCCCTTGTGTCTATAATGAAAATGCATCTCCATTCCAGGGTTGGGCCCAAGTAGAGGTGACTGTACTTACGTCCAAGCCCAAGTACCTGGATATTTATCAAGTACATGTACAAATACAGTCACTTTGCTATGTACATAAGTCCAAGTCCAAGTACAAGTATGGGTACTTTTGTAAAGCACAAAAGTTAATTGTTTTCCAATTAATATGTAGAAAGTGGGATTCAATGTAGAAAAGTGTATGTAAATTCTACCTTTATTTTAGCACATCACTTCTTTTATCACAGAATTGCAAAAGAAGAACATAGACTTTATGTGCAACTTTTTAACCCATTGCCGCCGGGGATGGCATATACGTACATGCCATGCCCACTGCGAGTTGACTTGTTCGATTGTTTTTACACATAGATGGCTACACTTGTACTAAGTATCCAATGAGCCAATTATGAGTACTGCCTGTCTCGAAAATAAGATTTGATAAAATTTTTGCTCCTAAATATGGGAAAGAAAAAAAAAAGTTTAGTTGAAATAAAAAATACATATAAGTGAGCTTCTTAGGGTACATCATCATTGGACATTATGAGCATCACACTTGAAGTTTTTGTCAGTAAGATAATATCTTTCAGGCTTAAACATTTTTTCAGCAATGCTGAAAAAAACTTTTATTGGGAGCTGAAAATGCAGGTGCAGCCAATTATTTCTGAGCCATCTTAGATAAGGCAGGCATAGTATATCTGTGTTCTTTCCAAAATACCAACCCATCAGTGTTATCTGCCTCGCAAGGCTGGCTCAGATAACAGTTGATCTGAGTGTTGAATGACTGCACCTTTTCACTTGTGGATGTTGACTCCTGTGTATGAATTAAGCATAAAACTGAATAACCTCTTCCTCTGTTAAGGGAAAGATTCAGTACTTTCTTCCAGCACAAGCTGAATTCTTGTATATCTTCACCAGGATTTTGCTTAACTTCTTTGGGTTGCACTGCTTCTGCTAATTTCATCTTTCTGAGCTCCTTTTCATCTCTGCACCAGTCGAGCTTAAACCATGGGTCTAGAATTGTTGCCAGCACATAAACTCTTAAACCCATTTGCGATGGGTAAAAATGGACAAAAAATGGGGAAAATGCTGGGCTCATTTTTTATATCTTTTGTGAAATGTCTCTATACATAGATGGCTCTGCCTTGCCTGATTTCACCTTTACTTGAATTGGCGGGAAAATGTATTTTTTACTAGTGCTATGAATATCGATGGTTATATTTAATATAAACATTATAATTACTATAATGTTATAAACATTAGTAACAGCTAAATAAAATAACATAAAATATTTTTGTAAATTAAAGAAAAAGGTAAACAGGCGAGACAGGCAGTACAAGTACAAGTGTAGCCATCTATATGTAAAAACAATTAAACAAGTAAACTCACAGGGGGCATATCACGTATATGTGACACCCGGTGCGAATGGGTTAAGTCCTGTCACCAAGATGGATTCCTAATGGTTTGGATGAAATTTTTCTTGAGGCCCTTAATACAAAGTATGACCAGACTTGCAGAAATGGTGGTTTGATTCTATGCACAATCTGTGGCCTCAATTGGCTCAAAGATTTCTGTCAGGTAGATTATGATCATATACACACTCAGTATTGGTACACCATCTATGATGCTTGATTTTTATTCAGGAATACTCAACACTGATCTAATCATTTTCACTTGGGAATTTCATTGTGTAGCACAACAGAATCCAATTTTTTCTCACCTTTCAGAACATCCGAGGCAGTGGTAGAATTGTGTACATGACACTAACCTTGAGGCATTACTGAGAGCCAGAAGTTTAGTTGCCCTGCTTCTCTTAGGCCATCCTTTACCGTAAGTTGCTGAGCGTGGGGGAAGCATGAACTGTGTTCAGTTGGGAGAACTTCATATGCATAATTTTTATCGAGCATACTGTCACCATCCAGGTCCACCTCTAGTTCATCATCAGAATAGGAGTCCATATCATTGTCAAAAATATCTGAGAAGCCAGTAAGTGAAAATGCCCATATATTCCATAATGTTGTGTGCTGTGTCTCAGCCACGAAAGTGCTTGCAGGCCAGAAGGGCTGTTTTCAAGGAACAATCATGGATGAAATGAGTAATTGCGAAGTAAGATCTCATCTGCCTGCTTGGCCAAATGTCAAGCAGGAGGCTACGAGTCTGTGTTCACTTAAGTTGTGGGTTTAGCGAACTAACTTCAGTGCGCTTATCTTGCAGTTGTTTGTTCACCAGGTGCTTTCAAGTTGGCATCTGGTACCGAGGATCAGCAGACAGCATCAGACCAGGGATGTAAGAGCTGTGTATCACGGAAAACGGAACAAGCTCATTTGCGACAAAAAGGACAAGTGGATTGTTGAGTTGCTTTTGTCTAACATCGTGAGACAAATATTTCTTAGGATGTTTTATAAATCCAACCAGATTTGATTGGCTGCAGTTGCTGGTCTCCCCTGTGACTTGTGCATGCTTCCTCACACACCTTGCTGTGTCTCCTCTGAAAAGAAATAATATGAATATATCCTGAAAACATTATGCAAATAGTCACCTATAAAGGAAAACAACTGTTGGTTTCACAAAGTACTAAGTGGGTGAGACTTAAGCCACCTACTCTTTTACTTAAACAAACACACACACACACACACACACACACACACACACACACACACACACACACACACACACACACACACACACACACACACACACACACACACACACACACACACACACACACACTCTCTCTCTCTCTCTCTTTCTCTCTGTCTCTGTCTCTGTCTCTGTCTCTGTCTCTGTCTCTGTCTCTGTCTCTGTCTCTGTCTCTGTCTCTGTCTCTGTCTCTGTCTATCTCTCTCTCTCTCTCTCTGCTATGTACTCTCTCTCTCTCTCTCTCTCTCTCTCTCTCTCTCTCTCTCTCTCTCTCTCTCTCTCTCTCTCTCTCTCTCTCTCTCTCTCTCTCTCTCTCTCTCTCTCTCTCTCTCTCTCTCTCTCTCTCTCTCTCTCTCTCTCTCTCTCTCTGTCTTTGTCTGTCTGTCTGTCTGTCTGTCTGTCTGTCTGTCTGTCTGTCTGTCTGTCTGTCTGTCTGTCTGTCTGTCTGTCTCACACACACACACACACACACACACACACACACACACACACACACACACACACACACACACACACACACACACACACACACACACACACACACATTCTCTCTCTCTCTCTCTCTCTCTCTCCCTCCCTCCCTCCCTCCCTCCCTCCCTCCCTCCCTCCCTCCCTCCCTCCCTCCCTCCCTCCCCTTTCCCTCTCCCTTTCCCTCTCCCTTTCCCTCTCCCTTTCCCTCTCCCTTTCCCTCTCCTTTTCCCTCTCCCTTTCCCTCTGCCTCTCCCTCTCCCTCTCCCTCTCCCTCTCCATGTCTCCCTGTTTCCCTGTTTCCCTGTCACCCTGTCACCTTGTCTCTCTGTCTCTCTGTCTCTCTGTCTCTCTGCCTCTGCCTCTGTCTCTGACTCTCTTTCTGACCCTCTCTTTGTCTTGGTTAAGGTCTCGGTCACTGTCTATCTGTCTGTCTGCCTGTCTGTCTCTGTCTCTGTCTTCTATCTCTGTCTCTGTCTCGGTCTCCGTCTATCTCTCTCTATCTCTGTCTCTGACTTTGTCTCTGACTTTGTCTCTGTCTGTCTGTCTGTCTCTCTCTCTCTCTCTCTCTCTCTCTCTCTCTCTCTCTCTCTCTCTCTCTCTCTCTCTCTCTCTCTCTCTCTCTCTCTCTCTCTCTCTCTCCCTGTCCCTCTCCCTCTCTCTGACTCTGTCTCTGTCCCCCTCCCCCTCCCCCCTCCCCCCTCCCCCCTCCCCCTCCCCCCACTCTCTCTTTGAATTCAAAACGATGATTTTGTGTACTTTCATATAGATTCATATATATATATATATATATATATATATATATATATATATATATATATATATATACATATATATATATATATATATATATATATATATATATTTTTTTTTATACAGCCATTTATTCCACTGTAGGACATGGCCTCTCTCAATTTACTATTGAGAGGTTATATGGCAGTGTCACCTTTGCCTGATTGGATGCCCTTCCTAAGCAACCGTGACATGGGGTGCTAATATTTGTGACACGGCGGCGACTTTCCCTACGAAACCTGCGTTTGACTTCTCAAGCGATATGTCGTTTTCTCGGGCTCAAGCCAGCAGTCAGAACGCAGGCATTTTTACGACCGCCGCGACGGGGAATTGAGGCCAGTGCTCTAACCACTGGACTATCGCGGCAGTCATATATATATATATATATATATATATATATATATATATATATATATATATATATATATATATATATGTATATATATATATATATATATATATATATATATATATATATATATATATATTTTTTTATCAAACCCTTTCATCTGTACAGATTAATGCAAATAATACATCTCAGTCTCTCTCTCTTTTTCCCTTCCCCTCTCACCCTGACTCTCTCCCTGACTCACTCACTCTCTCTCTCTCTCTCTCTCTCTCTCTCTCTCTCTCTCTCTCTCTCTCTCTCTCTCTCTCTCTCTCTCTCTCTCTCTCTCTCTCTCCTTTCACTCTCTGCATGATAAATACACATATTTATTCTTATTCCTATATACATACATAAAAGGATATTGGACAAAGGACGTATGTACATAATATATAATGTTAATAATAATAATGTTAATAATAATGATAATAATAATAATGATAATAATTATAATAGTAATAATAATAATAATAATAATAATGATAATAATAATGATAATAGTAATAATAATAATGATAATAATAATAATAATAATAATAATAACAATAATAATA